GTTTCAGTCTCTTAACAACTGACAATAAGCTTAAAACCCACATCAAGTAAACAGTTAAACAAAATAATTGTTAATCCGAATTTCAATCTCCGAATCGCATGCCGTGTTTGCCGCCATGTTTAGAGGTATAAGGGGCGGATAACTCTAGACTCTAAAGTGAACGAATCTGGAGGTTTCCTGTATTTTGCGTTGCGTATTTAACCTATTCTGTTACCGACAGTTTGATTTTGCAAATAGACGAAAAATAATTGCCAAGATTTGAAGAAAATGTAGTTAGAAATAATCACTGAGAATAGTTGGGAATTAGGGGGCGTATCTGAGCCAATTATATGTGTAGGCAAAAAGTTTAGAATGCAATTATTATACGTACATATCCATGTACTTTCAGCATGTTGAAATAAATTCAACATTTGTAACATTTTTCTTTCAAATTTATCATATCCTTTTTTTAATATCTTTTTTTTTACAAAATTATGTGTAGGTAATTGTCTTTTTGCCTATATGGCAGCTACGCCCCTGGGAATTAAGGATTATAACTGACCATTGTTCATGTCAGTGAACTCCCAACAAAGTAGCTACTAAATTCTGATTATTAGTGTTCTTGAAGTATAACCCGTGACGATCCGTGTTAGAATTGATCTTCAGTAACTCGTGCATACCAGACGCGACCAATGAGATCGTGTGGTCAGGCTCGCCGACTTAACTCGTATCCCAATTGTGCAGATCTATGCTCTTGCTTTTGAGCACTGGATTGTCTGGTTCAGATTCGATTATTTACAGACTGCCGCTAAAAAGCAGGAATATTGCCGAGGATGGCGTAAAACTAACTTCACTCTTGAAGCGGATTATTTTGGTCTCAGATGAGCAGAGCTCTTTATTTATTACCCACGTGGTCAACGTATGGGTAGTTGCATACTAATCTCGTACGTCTCGAGTCGTATCGCGTTGACCCGATTCTAACGATTTGATTGGATAACCGATGACGTCAGTTAGCACTCTCCTACCCAGAGTTCCATGCGGCAAGCCAGCATATAGTACCTCTGCCACAGGCCAGAAAAATGTGACGATTCGTCACATCTTGCACCGTCCATTCAATATAATGTACGGATTTATTTTACTCTTTTATTTTTGACGAGTCTACAAATCTAACTAAACATCTTTAATAGAATGGTTTAGATTCACTGAGAAAATAACCAAAAACATTTAACACTATTTCGATTTGCGTAGCGATCCTTTGTTTACATAGGTTGTACGGGCTCCACGTGGTGTCATCGAAGCCGACGGAGAGCAAACGATGCAGCCAGTTTGATATCTAATATAAATATGTACTGTCAGACCTAACTGTCGCAGTTGTGGAAGAATGTAACAATGTGAGGTGAGGTGAAATTGGGTTTAACGTCGTGCTTGAGAATATTTCGCTCACATGACGACGTGCATGCGTGTGTATGTGTATGTGCGGCTACTTGTACTAGCCCAGACTTAAGCTGGTTTTATAGTGCTAGCCCACCGAGATACCATGCCGCAGTGAAGCAGGAATACCTCACTCAGACACATTATACTGACTCCGAGCCGATCAGTCCTTGTTGTACCCATTAATGCCGAGCGCCAGGCAGGGACCAACAAATACCATATATTAATGTCTTTTGGTATGACGCGGTCGGGGTTGGAACCCGCGACCATCCGCTCTGGGAGGACGCTCTAACCACTACACCACGGAGGCGGTCCGTATATGCCTCAAAACAAGGCCAAGAAATAGGTGTAACTGCTGAAAACAGTAACAAGTTGTTTCATATCGTGTCTTAGTTCTACAACATACACTTTAGCTGTATTCGATACCCTTCCTTTGCCTATATTCTAAACTAATAACACACTTGGTGTTTGTTACAGAATTATTAAAACTCATTGAAAATTGTTACCATTTTGGTTATGAACTCGTACACTGTTGAAATGGAAATTGGTTAGGCATGGTAAACAGAAATAGCGAAGCTTTGTTTCTCTCAGAAACTAAATGCCGTTAGGATAGTTTCATGTATATCAAACGGTAATTCCAATTTTCATCACAGAGAAACTCCATACACTCTTCAAATAATGAACATCAGGTATGAATGTTAATTATCTATGTCAGTGAATGTCATGTTTCGGTGCAAGTTCAAAGTATTGGTCATGACCATTTTGAATCTGCCATCATCAAGGTGCATATATTTCACACTTGTGTGGATTTCATAACCTCTGCATGTCAGCCTTTGAATTTCATACAGTCCAAAACAGTGCTGACAAGTAAACAATTAAGAGATGGCTCATTAGCGAGTGGTGTTTTCGAAGGACAATTTTAAACTACTTTTATAATGAGTCAATGTTGCCTAATTGGAACTGAATACAACCAACAGAAACTTTAAAACATAGTAAACATGTTTGTAATGCTACAAGTGGGTATAGCTGCCAACACCGAGGACCAGTGAAAATACGGCCCGTAAGTAGGTCACGGCACATCGCGAGACCTTACGTTGTTTAGTACTTCCGGTGACAAACAACGTTACATATCCTTTCCAATGGTCTCATGGTTAGTTGACTGTAAGGATCCTATAATCCTTGCAGGAATAACAAATATATGATCTAACCATAGAATAATTAGCTAACTATTAAGACTATTCTTAAAAACTCAAATTTCTAAGGTTTGCCTCAAGTTTCTCTCAGAAATGGGCAAAGGATAGTTTCATACGTACGTTATCAAACGGTCATTTTCATCATAGAGTGACTTACTTGAGGTACTGCTGATATTTTCGGTGTTGACGTGATTAGTAAATGTATTAACCTTAACTCAACCTGTCTAGTTTCAAGCAGAACAGCCATTCTTGAAATATATATCAATTGGGGATTTGGTGGTTATGCAAGATATTGCTGATTTTGAAACAGGTCTAAAGTTGGGGTGTCATATTTGAACTGGACACTAGGCAAATCATACCGTCATAGATTTCTAGTGTACCTGGAGTTCAACCTGTTATGATCAACTGTGGAGACTTGTTTACCAACATACCATTTGTTCCTTTCAAGAGACCCTCAATGCCAAGCCTAGGGTTCTTCTGCTCGACTTGTCTAGATTTCACATCCACTAGTGTGTGGATTGGGGCCCCACAGCTGATTTCTGCCAATGCCAAAGTAATGCTTTCCAAAGCCTCAGAATGCAGCAAAGCATATTGAGTGGAAATCTGCAAAACACAGGCAATTAATTGGATTATCTAACCAAAAAATGCAGTGCAAACAGTACATTTAACAATAAGCTTGATCATAATTTACACTGCGCGAGTTATTTTAGCTTTACGCCGCCTTCAGCAATATTCAGCAATATCACGGCGGGGGACACCAGAAATGGGCTTCACACATTGTACCCATGTGGGGAATGAACCGGGTCTTCTGCTTGGCCGGCGAACGCTTTAACCAATAGGCAACACCATGCACAGCTCACAATTTACACACATACATACTTTGCACAAACTGATTCCATTAATATATCCATCACCGACTTATACCGTGAAGTCCATCAATGTGTCATGATGAATATCCTTGCAACAAATGCCAATTAATGGTTTGTAGATTTGCTAATCTGAATCTCTGACAATGACCCAATCTTCATGAAGTGAGCGAGTGAGTTTAGTTTTACGCAGCACTCAGCAATATTCCAGCTATATGGCGGCGGCAGCCTGTAAATAATCGAGTCTGGACCGGACAATCCATTGGCCACAGCATGAGCATCGATCTACGCAATTGGGATACGATGACTCGTGTCAAGCAAGTCGGCGAACCTTACCACCCAATCCCCTTAGTCGCCTCTTACAAGCACGAGTTACTGAAGATCAATTCAAAACCGGATCTTTTCGGGTCCATATGATCCAGTATATCCATTTCAACTTGCCTTTCGAAAATGTCCCAGGACGGCAGAGTGAATTCGGTTTTTCTCTTCACTTCAAAGTGAAATACGGATAGCAGCTGTCCTTTTCCAAACGTTCATTTCGAGGATAGAGACGACGCTGAGACCAGTCGAAACGTCGCCAAAAGCAAGCTCTTGAACCTGGTCGTTTTGGGGGAGAATGACAGTTTCATACATGGAATTGTGGAGACAGAGGCACACACAGAAATAGTTTGAAGCTTGAAATTAAGATACAGAACACATGCAGGATACAATTCAGAACATGTGTAGATGAGAGATGACAAGCCGCCAAAATGCAGTGGTTAGTAACTGACAAAATCCCCGTATAGCTCGGGATGGGCATTCCCAACGCCCTGTAGCATGACCTCTTAAAACCCGTACCAATCTGTTTTTATTTAAGCGTTCACTTGCTGACCACCTGTGGAGATCCCGAATAGGATTGTCTTCAGCAACCCATTCGTGTAGCAAGCGGCGATCAACGGGAGCAGGTGGTCAGGTTCGCTGATTTGGTTAACAGTTGATCGATGTTCATGGATTATCTGGTCGTCATTTATAGCTGGAATATTGCACCCGTGGAGATCCTATTAGAATTGGTCTTCAGCAACCCATTTGTGTAGCAAGCGGCGACTAAGGGGATCGGTTGACCTTACGTTGTTTAGTACTTCCGGTGACAAACAACGTTACATATCCTTTCCAATGGTCTCATGGTTGTCAGAAATGGCCAAAGGGTAGTTTCATACGTACGTTATCAAACGGTCATTTTCATCATACTTACTTGAGGTACTGCTGATATTTGTGTTATCGTGATCATTACTAAATGTATTATCCTTAACTCACCAACCTGTCAAGTTTGAGGCAGAACAGCCATTATTCTTGAAATATAAATCAATTGGGGATTGGGCGGTTATGCAAGATCTTGCTGATCGAGAATTCTTTCAAACAGGCCTAAAGTTGGGGGGGGGGGGGGGGTCATATTTGAACTGGAAACTAGGCAAATCGTACCGTCATAGCCTTTCTAGTGTACCTGGAGTTCAACCTGTTATGATCAACTGTGGAAACTTGTTTACCAACATACCATTTGTTCCTTTCAAGAGACAGTCAATGCCAAGCCTAGGGTTCTTCTGCTCGACTTGACCAGATTTCACATCCACTAGTGTGTGGATTGGGGCCCCACAGCTGTTTTCTGCCAATGCTAAAGTAATGCTTTCCAAAGCCTCAGAATGCAGCAAGGCATATTGAGTGGAAATCTGCAAAAAACAGGCAATTAAATGAATGATCTAACCAAGAAATGCAGTGGAAACAGCACATTTGACAACAATCAGCCTGGTCATAATTTACACTGCGCGAGTTAGTTTAGGTTTACGCCGCTTTAAGGAATATTCCAGCAATATCACGGCGGGGGGACACCAGAAAAGGGCTTCACACATTGTACCCATGTGGGGAATGAATCGGGTCTTCTGCTTGGCGGCGAACGCTGTAACCACTAGGCTACCCCACCGCCCCCATGATGTACACGCATACATACTTTGTACAAACTGATTCTATTAAATAAATCACAGACTTATACCATAAAGTCCATCAATATGTGTCATGAATATCCTTGCAGCAAATGCCAATTGATGGTGTCAGATTTGTAGATTTGCTAATCTGAATCTCTGACAATGACCCAATCTTCACGGAAAGAATGTTCATTTCAACTGCAGATCACCATAAAGTATCAACTGTATAATCTTGGCACGCAGTTCGCAATATCAGCATGAATGCAAGGCCAGGGGCTCCTTTCACGAAGCGATCTTTACTTAGGTTAACCTTAACTCCCATTCTTTAATTTAACATTGCACTAAGGTTACCTTAGTGACTTACGATCACCTTAGTGCTTTGTGAAAGGAGGCCCTACCTTATCTGCACCTAATGCCCAAATCATACAGATTTCGGTATTACCCTGTCAGTTAAACAGTGATAAACGAAAACACCACAAATCATTCTTTTCGCATTAAAAAATAGCAAATCAAATAACATCACATATCAAATAGTGCAAGTTAAGTTGTTCCAATAGAATATAATGAAAACACGAGAAAATGTTTATGCATGAGTAAGAGTGAGTTTGATTTTACGCCGCACCCAGCAATATTCCATGTGACAACCGACCTCAATTCAGCCATTCCTTCAACCTCCCCACGCCCACATACGAACATGTATCGGTGTATACACAAACATTGTCCACGGTTGTGACGATACGAATACTCACCCACCTATACATATGACCTGCCTCGCCGTGATGACCTGCGTCATTCTTACAACAGCGAAATCGGTTGCTTACAAATAGGGCTGGCCATCGATATAGATCACTCATCGATAATCTTACTAAATATCAATCGATTATCAATAAATATCGGAGTGAAAATGCAACAAATTGTCAGTACGAAACGAATAGCCTAGGTTTACTCAGCAATATTCCAGATATATGACGGCGGTCTGTATATAATCGAGTCTTGACCGGACAATCCAATGATCAACAGCATGGGCATCGATCCACGCAATTGTCAAGTCAGCGAGCCTGACCACCCAATCCCGTTAGTCGCCTCTTACAAGCATGAGTTACTGAAGATCAATTCTAACCAGGATCTTCACGGGTCCACATGATCCAGTATATCCATTTCAACTCGCCTTATGAAAATGTCCCAGGACCACAAAGTGAATTCGGTTCTTCTCTTCACTTCAAAGTGAAATACGGATAGAAGCTGTCCTTTTCCAAACGTTCATTTCGAGGAAGGAGACGACACTGGAGACCAGTCGAAACTTCGCCAAAAGCACGCTCTTGAACCTGGTCGTTTTGGGGGAGATATGACAGTTTCATACATGGAATTGTGGAGACAGAGGCACACTGAAACAGTTTGATGAAGCTTGAAATAGATACAGAACACAAGCAGGATACAATTCAGAACATGTGTAGATGAGAGATGACAAGCCGGCAAAATGCAGGGGTTAATAACCGACAAACTCCCCGTGTAGCTCGGGATGGGCATACCCAACGCTCTGTAGCATGACCTCTTAAAATCCGTACCAATCTGTTTTTATTTAAGCGTTCACTTCCTGACCACCTGTGGAGATCCCGAATAGAATTGTCTTCAGCAACCCATTCGTGTAGCAAGCGGCGACCAACGGGAGCAGGTGGTCAGGCTCGCCGACTTGGTTGACACGTGTCATCGTGTCCCACAGTTGATCGATGTTCATGATGCTGATTATTGCAAACCGAAACATGAGTCTCATTAACCTGTTCAGACAATGACCTACTTTTCAGCCGATCCGAATTTTCTCGTGTTAAAGTGAAACGAGACACAACAAACAACTATGGTTAGACCGAATTCCAATTCCTTGTTCATAAGAAAATGGTATTTATAAGTTAATTTGAAATTTAAACTTTAATAACATCGTATTTCTATGTATTATGGCGAGGTGTAGGCAGCATGACCTTAACACGTCACAGACTGCCCCTGTTTGATGAGGTCCTAAAATGATTCACAATTCATCTGGCTCACTGGTTACACCTGTTGTGTTATTTTGTGCTTATTCGGTGTAGTTTTTTAATGCAGATTGCGATTGAGTATAATATCAAGTCAGTACCAGACCGCCAAACGTTTCTAGCGGCAGAGCCTCATTTTGAGAGCTCCGTTTGTCAGAGCACGTTGTACCACAGATCACCCTGCACGACATGATTGCAAGGATTAGGAGTGTAGTGTTGCAACATACAAGTGCTTAAATGTATCAAATACTGATTAATATTTAGGTATCCAGTTGACTGAATTGGTCTCAAATTCTGGACTGGTTATTGTACTAAGTTGCGCAATTCGACGGAACCCAGTCAGCAGGAAACGAGACTTGTGTAATCAATGTTTTGACTTGCAGTAGCATACCTGCCATAGGCACTTTGGGAACGTGCCTGCACTTAATTTTTTTTTCGGCAATTTGTTTTACATGTGTGAATGTTATGTATCTATTTTTTTCGAGAGTAGTCTCCCTTTCTTTGTTTTTTTCTTATATTTTGATGAAACGTAAATCAGCTGGTACATACCATTTTATGGCCAAATAGAATCGCGACTTTTGTTGAAATAGCTATTTTGTCTTTGCTTAAATACGTAATAAGTTCCCATTGAAAATATATTTTTATGAAAAGTTAGCAGGAAATGCTGTCTGAAGCAACCCTTTTTATAAACATTGTGGTGTGTGGCGGGGGCAGAGTGAAGGCAACCTCCCTAAAAGTCTAAACGTCTAGCGCTACGTACACTCGCACGGCCAGTTGTGCCTACACTCATTACTTTCCTGGGTACGCCCCTGTCTTGATGGTCTGGTCCGGACTTCATTATTTACAGACGGCCGTCATTTAGCTGTGGTTGTAAACACGTTTTGGACTACACCTCCAGTCCTCTTTGCGTTGTTGGCAGCCTTAAAATAAACCGTGAACAAGTCCAGCGTTACTCCTGGCCCTTCCAATTATTATTCGATACAAAGGTGCCAAAATACTGTACCAATGTGGGGAATCGAACCCGGCTCTTCGGCGCGACCAGCGAACGCTTTAACCTATAGGCTACCCCACCGCCCAAGAATTTTATAGGCTCGGGAACAAAAGTAAAGTAGTACTGTTAAATCGTAATGTTAATTCTCAGGCTTTACAGGTAGATTAACAAAGTACATTTAACTCTTTCAAATAATGTTCTGATTCATACATACCTGAAAATGCAGTCGGAATCAAGTACATATTCCATCTTCTACTCAAGAGTAGACATCTGCCTCATTCTGGTGCACATCACCTTCGATAGTTTCGGACCCGTGAAGATCCGGGTTAGAATTGATCTTCAGTAACCCATACTTGTTGCACGGGTAGTCAGGGTCGTCGACTAGGCCGCCACTCATCGGTTCCCAAGAGCGAAGATCGATGCTCATGCTGTCGATTACTTGATTGTCTGGTCCAGATTCCATTATTCACTCAGATATTTTCGAGCATTTGCCCAATATGAAATGACAGAAACGTGATATATATACAGAGGAAAACGTTGTGACAAGTGTTTTATTGGTAATCTTGTGTGAGATGTTTTGGATTTGTACCGGAGAAAATGTAAAATGCAACCTTGCAGTTGTCCGATGTTTGAATTGCACGAAATTTGCAAGAAGCATGACATATTCGAGAACAATGGCAAAGCGGGCGCCGGTCACTACGGGGATGGACTCGAACCCGATTGTTTGGGGCAAAACGTCACCATAAGTGCCAAGTGGTATTTCTATTGGCCTTGTATCGACGAACGAGACTGCGAGGAACGAGACTGAAGCAGACGTTTAGCTCTCCATCTCGCATTACCTCGGGGGTACATCACCAGCTTACACTTGGACATTTCAAGCGGGGATTACGGGCAGACCTCTTATCCCCCATTGATTTTGTACATGACATGCAGGGGGGTATCTTTGTCCACACATTTTAGGGATTGGGTTATGCTTCTCCATAAAAACCATCACCCTCCTAGCCATAAATTATGAACGGTCCCTTAGTTAAATAAACGTGCGATTTTGATGCGTTTTTTCTGTTTAGCAATGTCTGAAATACACAATGCCATTTTAGAAAGTGGTCAAAGTTAGCATATGTTATATTTATGGATTACACTTTCTTAGTAAATTACAGATTCTAGTACTTTTGGGGTTGAGTCCCATCCGGGATTCGAACCCGCACCCTCAGAGTCAGGCACCTAATCGCCAGCACTCAAAGTCAGACGCCTAGAAACTGTTCGCCAAGAAATACGTATAACTGCTGAAAACAGTAACAAGTTGCATCATGACGTGTCTTAGTTCTACAACATACACTTTCGCTGTACGATACACTTCCTTTGCCTGGATTGTAACTCCTGTCAGTTGGTTTTTGTCACAGAATAATTAAAACTCATTTAAAATTGTTACCACTTTGGTTGCTATGAAACCACTCACTTCTCATACATTGCTGAAATGGAAATTAATTCGATATCATGGTAAATAGAAAAATAGCGATGGTTTGTTTCTCTCAGAAATAAATGCCGTTAGGATAGTTTCATGTATATCAAACGGTAATTCCAATTTTCATCACAGAGAAACTCCATACACTCTTCAAATGATGAACATCAGGTATGAATGTTAATTATCTATGTCAGTGAATGTCATGTTTCGGTGCAAGTTCAAAGTATTGGTCATGACCATTTTGAATCTGCCATCATCAAGGTGCATATATTTCACACTTGTATTGATTTCATAACCTGTTCATGTCAGCCTTTGAATTTCATACCAGTCCAAGACAGTGCTGACAAGTAAACAATCAAACGATGGCTCATTAGCGAGTGGTGTTTGCGACACGACAATTTTAAACTACTTTTAAATGATTCAATGGTGCCTAATTGGAACTAAATACAACCAACAGAAACTTTAAAACTTAGTAAACATGTTTGTACTGCTAAAAGTGGGTACAGCTGCCAACACAGAGGACCAGTGAAAATACGGCCCGTAAGTAGGTCATGGCACATCGCGAGACCTTACGTTGTTTAGTACTTCCGGTGACAACCAACGTTACATATCCTTTCCAATGGTCTTCATGGTTGTTAGTTGACAGTAAGGATCCTATAATCCTTGCAGGAATAACAAATATACGATCTAACCGTAGCAAAATTAGCTAACTATTACGACTATTCTTAAAAACTCAAATTTCTAAGGTTTGCCTCAAGTTTCTCTCAGAAATGGCGAAAGGGTAGTTTCATACGTACGTTATCAAACGGTAATTTTCATCATAGAGTGACTTACTTGAGGTACTGCTGATATTTGTGTTATCGTGATCTTTACTAAATGTATTATCCTTAACTCACCAATCGGTCAAGTTTGAGGCAGAACAGCCATTATTCTTGAAATATAAATCAATTGGGGATTGGGTGGTTATTCAAGATCTTGCTGATTTTGAGAATTCTTTCAAACAGGTCTAAAGTTGGGGGTCATATTTCAACTGGACACTAGGCAAATCATACCATCATAGCCTTTCTAGTGTACCCGGAGTTCCACCTGTAATGATCAACTGTGGAGACATGTTTACCAACATACCATCTGTTCCTTTCAAGAGACAGTCAATGCCAAGCCTACGGTTCTTCTGCTTGACTTGTCTAGATTTCACATCCACTAGTGTGTGGATTGGGGCCCCACAAGCTGCTTTCTGCCAATGCCAAAGTAATGCTTTCCAAAGCCTCAGAATGCAGCAAAGCATATTGCCCTGGAGTGGAAATCTGCAAAAACCAGGCAATTAAATGAATGATCTAACCAAGAAATGCAGTGGAAACAGTACATTTGACAACAATCAGCGTGATAATAATTTACACTGCGCGAGTTAGTTTAGTTTTACGCACCTTTTAGCAATATTCCAGCCATATCACGGCGGGGGACACCAGAAATAGGCTTCACACATAGTACCCATGTGGGGAATGAATCCGGTCTTCTGCTTGGCGGCGAACGCTGTGACCACTAGGCTACCCCACCGCCCCCATGATGTACACGCATACATACTTTGCACAAACTGATTCTATTAAATAAATCACAGACTTATACCATAAAGTCCATCAATATGTGTCATGATGAATATCCTTGCAACAAATGCTAATTAATGATGTCAGATTTGTAGATTTGCTAATCTGAATCTGACAATGACCCAATCTTCACGGAATGAATGTTCATTTCAACTGCAGATCACCATAACGTATCGACTGTATAATCTTGGCACACAGTCCGCAATATCGGCATGAATGCAAGACAGGGCTCCTTTCACGAAAACACCACAAATCATTCTTTTCGCATTAAAAAATAGCATAACATCACATAATATCAAATAGTGCAGTTAATTTGTTCCAACAGTATATTATGAAAACACGAGAAAATGTTGATACATGAGAGGACACTTTCGAATATTTACATGACCCATGACACATGTGCCAACTGACCTCAATTCAGCCATTCCTACAACCTCCCCACGCCTACATACGAACATGTGTCAGTGTATATACAAACATTGTCCACGGATGTGACGATACGAATAGTCACCCACTGAAAATATGATCTGACTCACCGTGATGACCGGCGTCATTCTTACAACAGCGAAATGCGTTGCTTAAGGATAGGGCTGGCTATCGATATAGATCACAGATATAGATAATCTTACTAAATATCAATCGATTATCGATAAATATCGGAGTTAAAATGCAAAAAATTGTCAGTACGAAACGAATAGGTTTACTCAGCAATATTCCAGCTATATGGCGGCGGTCTGTATAATCGAGTCTGGACCGGACAATCCAGTGATCAACAGCATGAGCATCGATCCACGCAATTGGGATACGATGACCCGTGCCAAGCAAGTCAGCAAGCCTGACCACCCGATCCCGTTAGTCGCCTCTTACAAGCATGAGTTGCTGAAGATCAATTCTAACCCGGATCTTTTCGGGTCCATATGATCCAGTATATCCATTTCAATGGGGACGCCTACATACGAACATGTGTCAGTGTATGCTCGGACCTCGTATCGCGGCATTCATGGTATCGCGGCAAACGGTATTTAGAGTTTTCTGCGCGAGACACGCCTCCTAGCGGTGATTTGCATATGTAAATCGACAGCCAGACGTCAGTCGCTTGTTTACTTTTTAGAAACCAGCAGGGTGTATCAAATCTTCGTAAGTATTAACCAGCAGAAATATTAACATTAAACTCTGGAATCTTTTGGAATCTGTCTGAACCCCATCCATGAAATACATGCTATAATATTTACATGTCGTATATGACCCTTCCCACTCGATCTGAACTAGGTCGTCTGCATCTCATTGTTGCCATATAAGGTAGCGGAAGTGACGTCATGAGCTTTATTTATCTCCCGGTGAATACCAAATGTTGTACTTTAAATAAGGACAAAATGCGTAAAATGATCCCTGTTCAATGAAAGCGATTTTGCACACTTTAACAAAATAGAAATTTAGAAAGGATTTTATCATACTGTTGCACACAACTATTTATTTATTTTATCATATTATTTCAAATGATATTTTGCATTGAAATATGTTTGAAATCATGCCTAAAAAAAATAAATAATGAAACAGTATGACTGACTGACTTTGGTTTTACGCCGCTTTTAGCAATATTCCAGCAACATCACGGCGGGGAACACCAGAAATGGGCTTCACACATTGTACCCAGAAACAGTATGAACAGATATTAAGAAATTCATGATGAAAATGATACATTTTGGAAGTTTGTGTTTTCCTTGAATAAAATTTTATAATGGATACTGTTTTGTGCACCTTGGATTACAAAAAATATCTCAGCTGATTTCACATTAAGGTGAGTTAAGCAATTTCATTATTTACAGAAGTTATATAGGATTTTCTGCAGAAGTATAGCAAAAAATGACGATTTTACAAACAAATTGTGCAATATATATTTTAATTTTCAGGATAGATCAAATCTGCGTTCACCACCGTCACCGACGTCAAAAGAGCTTTCTAATGATACCAATACAGGTATGTTGCAGATAGGTGTAACGTATTTAGAAGCAAACAAAGACGCGATAAGGCAAAGCCTGAACAAGGGCGCATTTGAAAGGCCGCCGACACAAGAAGCGGCGGTATAAACCGACGTGTGTAACTTCTCAGCAGAACTTCTCACATGTCCGCGTTATACGTCGTTAGGAGCGTACTTTCGAGGGCTTTCGACTGCATTAGACATATTGAAAATAGGACCATGGACATAAATTATAGCCGAAGTGAACATCCGCTGCCCAAAACGTGTTCTATTGGATTAAGGTCAGGGGACCTCGATGGCCAGTCCATGACGTTGATTCCAGCGTTTTGAAGGAAATTTCGTGTCAACATCGCGGTATGCGGCCGAGCATTATGCTGGAACTGTAGAAGTTCAGGGGTGAGCACCTGGTCGCGGTAAGTAGCAGCTGTGAGGTTTCCACGGATGACCAGAAGTCGGGAACGGTTGTTCCCACAGAAAGCACCCCACACCATGCAACTACCGCCCCCGAATCTGTCTACTTCCTTTACACAACATTGGGCATACCGTTCACGACGTCGCCTCCAGACTATGCCTGCCGTCCGCGAATCTGAGGGTAAACCTGGATTCATCGCTAAAGACGACTCGATTCCAGTCTGTCTGGGTCCATCGGAGGTGACGTTGGGCCCACAGCAGACGTTGACGTTGATGAAACTGCGTCAAAACTGTCCCACGATATGGACGTCGAGAATGGAGATTGGCAGCCCGCAACCGATTTCGAATGGTCTGTGAGGACAGTCGACCTCTAAACATCTCAGCCCTGGTTCGTGTAGCCGGCAGAAATCTGTCACGTAGGTGACGTAGGACGATTTGACGGTCTTCTGCTCGTGACGTCACACGTGGACGACCCGACCTTGGGCGATCAGAAGTGGTGCCAGTTTGTTGTAGACGACCTCGCAAGTCATACACAGTACGACGGCTGCATCCCATTGCTCTTGCGACGACAATAACTGATCGTCCCGCTTGCAACATGCCAACGGCACGTTCACGTTGCACATTTGATAATCGTGGCATTTCAAGTACCGTTAGAACTGTGGTTAAAAGTGTTTTTTTCAATTCTTGAGGCCAATGCAAACACGTGCATATGAAGAAAACTTCGATGCGAAGATCACGTGATCGACTGCACGTGCAAAACCTGATTTGGCACTAACGTCATTTGCACGACGAATTGATGGGTTCGAGTGGGTTTTGCTAACGTTTTTCTAGAGTCGAAAGATAGGGATCCCATTTCGGATACATATATGTATCATCAGCGAAAAATTATTCATTATTTTTCAAATTACATTTTGTGAAGTTTCTTTTTTGACTCATATATATATATATATATATGTAAATAATCGTATAAATGAATGATCAATATTACGAAATACACGTACGTCTACATATCAAATAAGTTGCACAATGGTGATTTATAGCTCGTCGGAACCACCCCAAAGAAACATTTAAGAGCTATTCGTATTAACCAGCACTCACCACGTGCATGGAGGTTGCTCTTTTAAGAGTGCCATTTTCATTTTCCTGCACCATTCCCACAACAGCAAGTTCGAACAGCGAACCCCTTTACTACTGTTGTATAAACCTAATGGGTCAAAACTGACATAGTACTGTCGGAAATAGAAAAAAAACTATTTTCTCATTTATCTCTACCATTTATGTAGTTGATATGTGAAAGTGTGAAATATCTGTTAAACTAAGTTCAGCCTAACTACAGTCTCAGTGGTAGAGAGATAGGAAACGGAGAAAAAAGACTTTACTGAGGGGAAATTAGTGCAGAAATGAGCAATGCGGGTTTTTTCTAAGTCCAAAAAGACGTATTTGGAACAGACCATGGCTTTATGCAAATTAGTGTGCGACGATATTGTATTACAAAGGACACTTTTTAAATGCCCAATTTGAAATTAGACGTAGATTCATTATAAACGATAGCTGACGTAAAACTAATAACTTATATGCCGAAACTATTAAGGATGTAGCTACCATGCAGTCTCACTGTCACTATAAAAGAAACAGATTGGGGGTGGGGGTGTCGCCTCAAAAGCAAAACCTGGGGTCGGGCTTGGGGATAGAGATATCAGCTAAGATAAGATAATCCTTTAGGGCAATTATACTGGGGAGGTACACGGCACGTCATAACAATTTACAAATAATATCCAGTACTGTCGATCTTCGGGTGGTCATGCCACCTATATACTACTATGCGTTTCTATGGTTTTCGGGTATCACACTCTTACATATCTCAACATAAACCTTGTGAAAGAAAGACACGTAAGATGTTAATCAGTAGATGAGACAGTCAACACACATGAAAAAGCACACAATATCTTTGAGATGACCCCTTGTGCCTGTAGGCAGCACGTGCATTTCATGCCAGGTGAGTCGACGGTCCGTCGTCATACCTGGCTGAGCGACCTAATTGCCATCTAGAGCCTGATCTATTGTTTTCAGCAGCTATTCGTATTTTTTCTAAGTTTTGCCCGATTTTACGAGTAAACATGCTTCTCTGGATATCGTATTACGCATCCCACTGAACGCCCAGTTAGGCCGAAGTGGGTTATTTCGACATATGCTATTTGCAATTGTGTCAATTTTAGGGATACAGAGTAACAGCCTAAAAACAGGGTTTTTTCTATTTCCGACAGTACTATAGGTTATGGAATTACAGGTTATATCCTATTACTTCTATCCTATA